ATCACATCTGGTTCATGTAGACTGGGTCTAAATAACACCTGGTTCATGTAGACTGGGTTTAAATCACATCTGGTTCATGTAGACTGGGTCTAAATAACACCTGGTTCATGTAGACTGGGTTTAAATCACATCTGGTTCATGTAGACTGGGTCTAAATAACACCTGGTTCATGTAGACTGGGTCTAAATCATTTCCGGTTCATGTAGACTGGGTTTAAATCATTTCCGGTTCATGTAGACTGGGTATAAATTACACCTGGTTCATGTAGACTGGGTCTAAATAACACCTGGTTCATGTAGACTGGGTCTAAATAACACCTGGTTCATGTAGACTGGGTTTAAATCATTTCCGGTTCATGTAGACTGGGTATAAATTACATCTGGTTCATGTAGACTGGGTCTAAATAACACCTGGTTCATGTAGACTGGGTCTAAATAACACCCGGTTCATGTAGACTGGGTCTAAATCACATCCAGTTCATGTAGACTGGGTTTAAATCACATCCAGTTCATGTAGACTGGGTCTAAACCACATCCAGTTCATGTAGACTGGGTCTAAACCACATCCAGTTCATGTAGACTGGGTTTAAATCACATCCAGTTCATGTAGACTGGGTCTAAACCACATCCGGTTCATATAGACTGGGTTTAAATCACATTTGTTTTCAATGAAGTCAGGTAGTGTTTAGATGGTTTTAGTTTCAGTAATTTGAAGTGTAGTGATTTCTGTGGAGTGCTAAGCATAAAATACATTTCAGAATGGAACAGCCTATGCAGCTGGTGTGTGATTTTTATTGTGACATCATGAGACAAAACCAAATGCTAATGCTGCTAACACTGCTGTATAAAATATGTAAAGTTTAAATTCAAAATGAGTTCACTGAAAACAACATGAGCGGTTCCTGTGGTCCAGCAGTTTCAAATGTAGGTCAGACACCAGCTGCAACTGAAAGTTTGATGGCTTGAATGAACGGATGTGTTAGCAGAGTTAGTAGAGTTAGTAGAGTTAGTAGCTTTAGTAGAGTTACCATCTTAAGTAGAGTTAGCAGACTTAGCAGCATTAGCGGAGTTAGCATCTTAAGAAGAGTTAGCAGACTTAGCAGCATTAGCGGAGTTAGCATCTTAAGAAGAGTTAGCAGACTTAGCAGCTTAAGTAGAGTTAGCAGAGTTAGCAGCTTTAGTATAGTTAGCAGAGTTAACAGCACTAGCAGAGTTAGCAAAGTTAGCAGCACTAGCAGAGTTAGCAAAGTTAGCAGCATTAGCAGACTTAGCAGCTTTAGTAGAGTTAGCAGAGTTAGCAGCATTAGCAGAGTTAGCAGCTTTAGTAGAGTTAGCAAGGTTAGCAGCATTAGCAGAGTTAGCATCTTTAGTAGAGTTAGCAGAGTTAACAGCACTAGCAGAGTTAGCAAAGCTAGCAGCTTTAGTAGAGTTAGCAGAGTTAGCAGCATTAGCAGAGTTAGCAGCTTTAGTAGAGTTAGCAGAGTTAGCAGCATTAGCAGAGTTAGCAGCTTTAGTAGAGTTAGCAGAGTTAGCAGCTTTAGTAGAGTTAGCAGACTTAGCAGCATTAGCAGAGTTAGCATCTTAAGTAGAGTTAGCAGAGTTAGCAGCTTTAGTAGAGTTAGCAGAGTTAGCGTACAGTGTCTTTTTTACTGTTTTATTTCACACCTTCACATCATCATAATTTTTAGGAGACTTTCTCGTCATGTTCTTTGTTTCTGTCACTTTTTAAATCTGTGTAAAACTGCAACAGAAAAAAGGTTTTAAACAAAAAGGCACAAACCTGACATGTAAGAATTCTTGTTCCTGTGAGGAATTTTATTCAGTTTACTGATAGTTTTCACACAGACTTCACATCTGCTGACATTCAGCTCTGCTCTCATCACTCTGAACCCAACAGAACCTTCAGTCTGAACCCAACAGAACCTTCAGTCTGAACCCAACAGAACCTTCAGTCTGAACCCAACTTCAGGAGGTTCAGCATCATCAGTCCTGGATTCTCCTCTGGTTCTGTTGATGTCCTTCTTGGATGTATTTTGCAGTTAGTCTCAACAGTCTGGTTCTGGTTCTGGTTCTGGTTCTTCTAACGTGCTGCCCTGTGCGCGGCCCCTCCATCACAGCTGACAGAACCATGTTTACAGAACAGAACCTTCAGGTTCTCCTGAAGTTTGGCTCTTTGTCAAACAAAACATCTGATTTTTGCATTAACTTCTGTTGGACTTTCAGGATGTCAAACCGGTTTTCTGTCTTCGTAAACTCAGATTTTTGACTGTTTGCTTCAGCTGCTGTTTATCTTCTTAAGCTACTTTTAGCTTTTAACTAGCCTTTCACTGTTTAGCTTTTAGCTCATCTGAAACAACTTGGTTTCAGCTTCAGCCACTTTCAGCTGTCCTTCACTCACTGTGTCTAAACAGGGATGACTCTCAGATACTACCACTTGAGTTTTAGCTGTTTTTTATATAATTTTAGCTGATTTGTTCCTTGCTGTCTTGCTGCAGAAACAAATGTCCACAGTCTTCATCATGAACTGTCTCACTTGTTTCTGACTGATTAATCTAAGTTTGAATAAATCCGTGATTGAAACATTTTAATATGTTCTGGATCTGGTTCTGGACCTGATTCTGGACCTGGTTCTGGACCTGCGGACAGACTTTCTCACACTGACTGTTGTCTTTGGCTCCAGAACCAACACTTCATTTCCTTTTGTCTTCTGCAGCACAACTGCTGCCAATATTCATCTGAAATATTCAGGAAAATGAGCAGCAGCATAAATGATCCTCCCGTCCCCCTCCTGCGTCTGTGTGTGTGTGTGTGTGTGTGTGTGTGTGTGTGTGTGTGTGTGTGTGTGTGTGTGTGTG